AATAGACCACATATTAGGATTGAATTTTGAATGTGCAACTACATACACAGCATGTCTCATACGATTACTTGCCAACTAGAAAAAAAATACAATGCCCAACACTTATACAAAAATAATAACAACTTGCTTACTCCTCAAACATGACCTTGTAGAACCTGACAAGAAAATACAATAAGACGTTGTTTAGATTGCAAATTTTTGCAACCTGGACACTGTAGCACGTTTCGTTTGTATTTGACAAATTTTGTCCGATCATGGACTAACTAGGCTCAAAAGATCCGTCTCGTGATTTACAACCAAACTGTGTAATTAGTTATTTTTTGTACCTACATTTAATGCTCCATGCATACATCCAAAAATTGATGTGATGGAGAGAGAGTGAAAAAACTTGGAATTTGGAGGCAATCTAAACAAGGCCTAAGACCAGATGCAAAGTATTTTAGACGTATTGGAGAAATACTATGATTTTATAAAATATTTTGGTTTTTAAAAGCTACTAGGTGTTTAGGTGCAATAAATCTTGTAGTCTTTAAAATCATGGTTTTATCAAAATTATAGTCTTTTTGGAGTTTTAGAAACTCCACGGCCTTTTTTTTAAACCACGGTTTTGTATCTCTTTGGCTTATAAAACCACAGTTTTATGATACTACAGTTTTCAAAAACCATGGCACCCAAACAGGTAAAGAAAACAAAGTATTCCTTCACAACTATTATCTGAAATGAATTAAGAATTGCAAATAAGAATAAGAATAAACCTGTGAAAGCATATACGTATCATCTTGTTTGGATCCCTGTGTCGGTTAGTTCTACGTTTTAGATTTTTAGTTGGAATTTCGAGGCTAATTTTGCTGTTCTTTGGCGAATAGTTTTGCAAGTGCAGACGCTCCATGCTTGATGATGACATTGAGGGCCCGTTTGGTACGGCTTTGGCTCGTGAAAAAATAGTTCTGGCTCTAGCTCGTATGGAAAAACAGTTTTTTCTGGCTCTGACTTATTTTGTATGAAAACGTTTGGCAAAACGGCTTCTTCTGGCTTTTCAGATCGGAAAGAAGATGTCAAATGTCTAAAATACCCTTATATTTCTTTTTTTCTCTTTTCCTTTTCTTTTTCTTTTTTTTCTCTTCATTTTCCTTTTCCTTTTCTTTCCTTTTCCCCTTCTCTCTCCTTATCCGATCGGCCTTCCCTTCTTTTCCCCTCCTCTCTCCTTATCCGATCGGCCTTTCTTTCCTTCTTTCTCTCTTGGGGTAGGCGTCGAGCCACCACCGTGCCCCCCACCTCCGTGTTCTCATTGGCGCATCGAGGTCTGCGCCGCCCCGCCCTGGGGTGCTCCACCACCGCCCGAAACTCTGCCATGGATGCCGCCTCCATTTCAATGATCAAGCTCCGCAATGGCCGTGGCCTCAGCACGCCACCAAGATCCAACATGGCCGTGGCCTTGGCACACCGCCGTGCTCCGCTTCGGCTGCTGAGCTTCGGCTCGGCCGTGGGCTCCGCACGCGTCGCCGGCCGCCATGGCGTCCGCCGGCCACCAACCCCGCCGCCGCCTCCCCGCTGCTGCCGAGCTCGCAGGCTTGCCTGATGGCAAATGTTGTAAGTTCTGTGAAATAACAAGGGCACATGCATACTTTAGCCCTCCTTTGGCAGGGCTCATCGAGTGGCTTCTTGAGCGGCTCATGGTGAAGCCCTGCCAAACGCTATAACTCAAAATGGCTCACGAGGAAAAGCCCGGAGAAGCCCCACCTTTTCCGCTCTCTAGGTTCTTCCGCCGATGAGAAGCCAAAAATAGTGGCTCATACCGGCTCATTCCTCCACCAAAAATACCAAAGTATGCATGTGCCCTTGCTATTTCACAGAACTTACAACATTTGCCATCGTGCAAGCTCATGAGCTCTCTAAGCGAAAGATGGAGGCAAAGCGGGGTGGTGGCTGTGGACGCCATGGCGGGCGGTGGTGGCGTAGTGAGCCCACGCCGGGCTGAAGCTCAAGCTGCGAGCACGGCGGTGGCGAGCCGAGGCCATGCCATGTTGATCTTGGTGGCGTCAGAGGCCACGGCCATGCGAGCTTGATCACATTGAGCGGAGAGGCGGCATCCATGGCGGAGCTGAGCGGCGTGCGGCGGAGCACCAGCACTGGCGGCGGCGCAGACTCCTGATGCCCCAAATGAGAGCACGGAGGTGGGGCACGGTGGTGGCCCGGACGCCGCCCAAGAGAGAAAGAAGGAAAGAAAGGCCGATCGAATAAGGAGAGAGGAGGGGAAAAGAAGGGAAGACCGATCGGATAAGGAGAGAGAAGGGGAAAAGGAAAGAAAATGAAAAGGAAAATGAAGAGAAAAAAAGAAAAAGAAAAGAGAAAAAAAGAAATATAAGGGTATTTTGGACATTTGACATCTTCTTTCCAATCTGAAAAGCCAGAAGAAGCCGTTTTGCCAAACGTTTTCGTACAAAATAAGCCAGAGCCAGAAAAAGCTACTTTTCCATACGAGCCAGAGCTGTTTTTTCACGAGCCAAAGCCGTGCCAAACGGGCCGTTAGTATTTTGGGTAGAGGAATGAGCCGGTATGAGCCACTATTTTTGGCTTCTCATCGGCGGAAGAACCTAGAGAGCGGAAAAGGTGGGGCTTCTCCTGGCTTTTTCTCGTGAGCCATTTTGAGTTATAGCGTTTGGCAGGGTTTCACCATGAGCCGCTCAAGAAGCCGCTCGATGAGTCCTGCCAAAGGGGGGCTGAGTATCTGAAGCAGCTTCAGCTCCAGGTGCAGGTGACCGAATGACTCCACGCTGCTCCTCATGGTGTGGTGTCACCGAGCCCATGCCCATGCGGCCGAGCATGGGGAAGGCAGGTTCTCAGTTCTCACGGCTGGGCAACGGAGACCCCGAGCGGTACGCGTCTGGCGGCGGGCTCTGAGCAGGCAAGCGGCGGCGGTTACAGGGGCGGCACGTTTCCACCAGCGGGCTTTGGGAAGGCAGGCAAGAGCCGACGATGGCCAGGTGGGCGACGACGACTCTGGGTAGGCGGGCGTCGATGGGCTGCGAGCAGGGAGGCAGCGGTGAGTCAAATGTCTAGGAATTGGTGGTTTTTCATGGGCTGTGCTTGCGAAAAGGCCCATCTCGACTTCTGTTTCAAGAGATCCATCATTATAATTGTGGTGGGTCAATTGCTTATAAAATTAACATTAAAATCTTGTAAAATCGATTTTAACAGTGATTTAGGCCTTCTCTTGTTTGATTTTCTGTGCCTTCTAATTTATTATTCAATCCCCAGACTAGAGTTAAAGGGAGAGGATAAGATGATACATTGCAGCTGCTGCCAACAAAAAGAGTTGCAGCTCCTGCCAACAAAAAGAATGATGTTCTGTTGTAAAAAAAAAGAATGACTTCCTGAGCCTTGCATGTCTCACTATTGGTAGACTCATGCTTGTTCTGGGCGCTGTTCGTTTCGCTGAAATTTAGCTTATGCTGATATTTATGCTGATTTATTGTGAGAAGAAAATACTATTCGTTCGCTGAAAAATACGGCTGAAGTAGTCCCAGCGGAGATCATCTGATTTTAGGGCACCTACAATTAAGCCAGTGTTAAGTATACAGTAGATTATATCCTATTTTTACCCTCTCAAACAAAAGATCCTATTTTTACCGTAAGACATACCCAGGCATCCACGGATCCAAACTCCAAGAGGAGCCTCGCCACGTGTAACCAGGCGCTCATGAACCCCTCGTGACTACCCCTCCGGACACCGGCTCCACCTCCATGGTTCCGCTTTTCCACGGCAAGCATACCGGCGCCAGATCTCCCGGGGCAAGGCAAACGAGGGCCCCTCCTTCTTGCACCCACCCGACCCGAAGGTACGAACCATGGGGATTGGGGGGATTGGGGAGTGAGTGAGCTGGTAGCTTCTTTCCCCTTGCTCTGCTTGATCTGAGTCCATGCGTTCCATAGAACGAACCGAAACGCGCACTGAGCCGATGGTAAATCTTCATTTGGTTGCCGACCACTGTTACCATGCCTCGTCAATTTCATGCCATTTTCTGTCGCGCCGCGGCGGCCGTTTAATCTATGATGAATTAAGTGGTCCCCATTCCCCACGAAGCAGTGCCTGCTTACTTTGGGGGCTTTGGTTACACAGCTACCGCAGCAATTAGAGCAAACGGCCATAGTCTAGTCTTAGAATTGATAGTCGCAAGGCTCTTCTTTTGTTTTGTTTAGGCTGTCCTTTTGATGAAAAGAGGTCAGAAGTGGGTTCATGATTTTCTATCAACTCATGTAAAAATTGTGAATTAATATAATCCTTCCTTTATAAAAAAAACAAAACAGTGCCAAGCGTGCTTAATCTGCCGTGCTCATTGGATTTCAACTAACTCACGTTATTCTGAATTTTTCATGTCGTCAGATTCCTTCCTTCCCCTCCCCATGGGTGCTCATGGGATCAGCTAGTCAGATTCTGATTTCACCAATAAATCAGCGCACCCTTCACAACGAAATTAAGGGTTCGTATGCATTTGGGACTTCGCCTAACCTATTATCTTCAGTCGTGTTGTTTCAGGAATGATAGGACCTGTTTGGAAGAAGGGGAGCGTTACAGGAATTTTTGGGATTTAGTTTACAATCCTAAGCATTTACTTCCTAAACCCCTCCTTCCAGTATCGAGATCTCAATTTTCAGTCATATCTTTCTAAACCTAGCATCTTAGTATGTCTTTTTGAACACTGTTCACTGACAGTCTGGCTAAAAGTATGAACTTCCACATGTCATTGCATTTTATTACAACAGACTATAGAATACCTTTTGAATAAATACTACAATTTCAGACTACATAATAGTAGCATGGCATATCCTATTTAAATATGAAATTATGAATGGAGAAAATAAACATAGGAGAAAAAGAAGTGATATCATTGGCCTATGGCATAGCTATCTTATATGGGACCAAAAGGAGGCATACACACCACAAATTCATCAAGGAGCAAACTCAATCGATAGAATAGTGCTTCATAGTGCTACTAGCTTCATGGAACTGAAAGAAGCTGCTGCACCACATTTTCCATGGTGGGCCTCATGTTTCGGTCTTCCTGTACGCATGAAACAGCCAACTTGATCATTGCTCTGGCCTGCATGCCATTGAAGTGGCCATTCAGTCTAGGGTCAATGAAGCCAGGGATCCATGCCTGTGTGCTGGCCTGCATCTTTGTGTTCTCTTCAAGCATCCTAACAAGCCTTGTAATAGCCATTTCAACTGTCTCGTCTGCATTTGCTGATCATTCTGAAACACGAGCTCCCTCGAGCAGTTCTAGAAGCACCACTCCAAAGCTGTAGACGTCAACTTTTGCTGTTATTGGGAGGTTAGAAACCCACTCAGGAGCTATGTAGCCTCTAGTACCGCATATCCATGATATACTTTTATTGGACTCACCTCTGATCAGGAGTTTCGCTAGGCCAAAGTCAGTGATCTTCGGCTCCAAGTTCTCGTTCAACAGTATGTTCTCAGGCTTCACGTCGCAGTGGATGACCCACTCCAAGCACTCATGGTGAAGATATGCCAGTCCTTTCGCCACCCCTAGAGCAATGTTAAACCTCTGCTTCCACTCAAGTAAGATCGGTGACCCCACTGTACCAAACAAGGCTTTGTCCAGTGAACCATTCTTCACGAATTCCAAGACTAGTATCGTGTGAGGACCGTCGGAACAAAATTCCCAAATTCTCACTAGATTCATATGGTAAATCCTGCCAATCACACTCAGTTCATGCTGAAATTCAGCTTCACCTTGGTTTATGTCTGCCAGCTTTTTCACTGCTACTTCCCTCTTGTCTTCCAGTACCCCTTTGTATAAGACACCAGATGCACCCCTTCCAAGCTCGTGTGTAAATTTTCTAGTAGCTCTCTGTAGTTCCTTGTAAGTATACCTGCGAAAGTGGTTGGTAATCATTTCATACCCAACCTCAGCTGGCCATACTCCTCTTAGTTGTCTGCCCTCTCTTCTCAAAATAAACCACCACCCTAACACAAGAAATATCACCTCCACCAGAAAAAATGCTGATAAGAACCCAGCCACATACCAGTATTTTGGTCCACTGTGGCTTCCCTCAGTCGTATCCAACAGATTAGCTATCACATTTGTGCTTAGTGCACTACTACACCCAGAACTGTATTTAGGACCAAAAGATTGTGAGTGTGGAATAGAGGATTCTAGCACTTCCACATCCTCAGGGAGCTTGATGTAGGTAGAGCCAGCTAAACCTGGTTTGGTGACTCCACCAACAATATCAAACTTTATATAGCATTTTTTTCTCGATCATGCAAAAGGTTTGCGCGTCTTTGTATTAAGGTAGAGAAAAAGTTTAATACAACATGCCTTAGCGGCTACCTAGGTGGTCATAAGTGTAGTACATGGATGCGCGGACCTTCCTAGTGTACTAAAAGCTATGCTGTTACATTAGAAACTGATCAACCCGACTAGCGACACCGGCTATGAGGCCTATGCCCTGGATGCCGAGCGGTGGCGGCGCCGCTTGCGCGCGCCCACGTCGCCATCCGGTGGGAACAACTCACGTAGCGCCTGCATATTATCGGGGTCACCGCTAAAGATTTTGTCGTATGCCTTCAGGACCGATGTAGACGGTGATGGCATTCCGCTGGTTAGTCCCAGGCGCTTGAGCACAAGGTGCTCACCTCGCTTGGACGCCGGGATATGCGATATGCTCTGGGCCGCTATCCGCCTGCTCCTCTTGGGAAGTGCGGGCGGTGTACGTCCGACGTTGGCCGTATCACTTCCAGGCAGCTCCAGGAGTGGCGGCTGCCTCGCCTTTGTGACTAGCTCGGTAAAGCGCTTGAGGCGTCTGTCGGTAGAGGTCGTCTGAGGAGACGGAGTGCGGTTGACGGCGTCCGTGGCAACCCCGACCGTCAGGTCTCCTTGGGTGGCTGCCCCGACCAACGCTGGATCAGGGCGCGCCTCGGCATCCACGACGCCGGGCTGTCCCCTCCGTGGCGGCGTGACATGTGGTGGGCCCTGCACAGGCGACAACGGAGGCGAGTCTGTCGTCCACTGGGCAGTCTTCGTCGGAGAACGGGAGTCCACCGGCGATGCATCCACCTGAAAGGCCGCCGCAGCAGCAAGCGAGCATCCAGGCGCTGGCGCTCGTGCTGAGGAGCTCACGATGAGCGAGGCGGCGAGCTCCTCCAACATTGGGTCGACCCACGCAGGAGGCCCGTGACAGCCGCGGATCGCCTGGCTCAATGCCGGTGGATCGCTTGGGGAAGCGGTGTCAGCAGCAGGCGAAGCGATGGCGTTGTCGTCGACTTCGTCGTAGTCGGCATCGCTCCCAAAGCTTTGCCGTTCCTTCTTTGGTTTACTCGGCGTCGCCACCGCCGTCGTCGGGTCCGTTACCGCCCCCAGCGCGCGCACCAAGCCACGGCCCGTCCGAGCTTGGTGAACCGCCACAGGGCGCGTGCTGGGAGGTCGGCGGGGTGCCGCGGTCGGTCGCCACCCTTCGCCGTCGATCTTTGAAGCATGCAGGGTAGCTTGCGCCCACGCGAGGTGGTGGTAACCGTGGCGGCGCGAGTAACGCCGCCGTTACAACCGGCAGGTCGCTACTCGCTGCGAGTAGGAAAGGCGATTAAACATCTCATTGTGAAGCTCTGGGGGGACCTTTCGGGTCTGCAGAGGCTGCTTTGTGCCGCGACGAGGCTCTAGCCGAGGCGGCCGTAGGTCGTACCTCCTGCCGGGGAAGGATCTCCCGCCACCCATCGACGTTGGGGGCGGAGACCCGTCCGCGGCGACCAAGGCGCTGGTGGGCAGGAATACGGCCATCCACTTGCCGAGCAAGCATGCCGCATACCAGCTGTGGGCGCGGCCGGCTGCGCTTCCTCCGCCTTTGCCCGGAACCCTGCCGGCCCGCTTTCGCTTTGCCACAACCCAAAATCACGAATGAACGAGTCTAGGCGCGCGGCGGGGACACAGCGACCGGCTTCGCTGGGCGACGAGTGGCATCCAGGTAGGTGGCGGGGTGGTCGTCGTCGGCATTCGCCCACCGGCGGCACTTCGTGCGCCCTCCCGCGGTGCCGCCAGGGTAGAACGGAGCTGCGTCCGGTGAGAGGGTGGGCGAGCTGGGGGTGCCCGGAGGCGCCACGACATCCTGACTTGGGTCCCCTATGCCCATGGACCCAGAAGGCCCAGTCTTGGCCTCAAACGGCGTGGAGTGGTCGTCGGCGGTGGAGGCAGCGCTCCCTGCGCCGGCCAGCAGCGTCGAGGCCCCGTGGGAGGCTGAGTCGGCTGCAGGGGCCGGTCCCGGCGGCGGTGGGGGCGGGGGCGCGCCAAATCTGGGCCTCTCGCGAGGCCGCGGGGCGTCCGTGGCGGCAGCGTCTTCCACCGGTGGCGTAGAGGGTGGAGAGGCGCCGGCAGTCGCCCGGCTGCGCCGCGGAGACGCACGGCCGCCGGTCGGCGGCGGGGATGGGGGCGCCCGGGGTGCCTCGTCGCGCGCCCCAGCACCTGGACCCGTGCGAGGATGCGGCTCAGAGGGAAGTGGGGAGGGAGGGGAGGGGGCGGCCGGTGCTGTCGCCGGCGCCGCCACCGGCGGCGAGGATGGGGGCGCCCAGGACGCCTCGTCGCGCACCCCAGAACCCGGACCTCCACGAGATCACGGCTCAAAGGGGGTGGGGAGGTGGGGGGGGGCGGGCGGCGGCGCTGAAAGGAGACCCGCCAGGCAGCTAGGGTTTTGGGGTCGAGGTCATGGCGTTGCTCAAGTGATGAGGATTCACTTTATATAGCATTCACCCGTTCCTTCAAAGTATTTGAACCCCTTGCAACTACAGGTGCTCATGCATATGTTCTTGCAAGTATGGAGAGCAACAGAGTGGTGCACATCTTGATCATGCCCCAAGAAATCAGTGCTGGGTAGTTTCACAAATCTCATCTTCTGCCTCCCATTTCAACTCACTGTGAGCTTGGGCTTGCAGCCTTTTCTCCCATCACTTGGGTCAATGGCCTCATAGCCAGGTGCGCATGTACAGGTAGGCGCAGGCGTATACACACATATTCCATTCTTGCCACACAAACCATGTACATAGCAGAGCCGAGAGTATGCCATCCATGAGACGATCCATGCCCCATTGTTATCCATACTGTACAGCCTGAGATTGCCATCATAGTCTAGTGTCAGTCTCCTCACGATCCCAGGACCTGAATCAGATGATGTAAAGCTCAGATTGTCACTTCCAAGGAAATGCCCAGAGCTATCAAGAACGCCAATTGTGGTGCTAATAAATGAGTTTCTTTGTTTTGCCCAGATATTGATATCTGGATCTGGCCAGTAGATGAATGAGATGTCCTTCTCATCGTCAAATAGCGTAAGTAGATGCTGATCATCAAAATGGAAGCTGTAATGGCCAGGAACGAGTAGAGTCTGAGTAGCTACCAGCTTTGTAGCCACAGTGATGTTCTGGATGGGCAGCAAGGTATCAGTAGGAGAATCAAAACTTTGCCACAGAATTGCATCACCTTTTCCCTTGATGACGAGATTTCCCGTATCCAGCAGCTGAGCTCGGTCGGCATGATCCGAAGAGCTCACATTGTTGGTCCATGCGATCTGGCCATTGTAATCTTTTACAACCATGGTCCCATGGATGTCTAACTCGACTCTGGATCCCCAGGTGTACACAGGGTGGAGATGATTCGCGCTCCAGACGACGGTCTTCTCAGCTGAGTGGAGACCCATATGGAGAAGACAGTGGCATTAGATGAGCTGTTGTAGAAGCCACAGGTGAACGTGCCATCTGGTGATAAGAGCACGTAGGAGCTGTGCTCTACAAAGAGCGAGGAACCTGGCAAGAGGAAATCATGGGCTGAAACGTGCACAAGCAGATGGATCAAGGCGAGGAGGAACAGAGAGGTGCTATGCATATCCATTGTTCTCGGTAGTATCGGAACAATGGAACTGGCATGCCAAATGGTCATGACTCATGAGGGCACACTGGTATAGCATCCTACTGTCGATGCACTGTACAAAGGGGAATGGTCTTTTCTGGTAGACTTTGCAGGCGACGAGTTCATCTGCTTAGAAACTTCACATGTAGAAGTGCTGCTGGAGTTTTCTGAGGTGACTCCAGATTTATTATTTGAGCCAGACAGCCAACAAACCTTCATGAAACACGTAGGAAGGGAAAGTAACTGTTAGACTTTGAATTAGTGAGCTCTGCAAAATGGGCCTCATGTTTGCTGCACATGATGAATTGACGTCTTACAATTTTTTGTAAATATGACAGGGAAAGAAGCTGAAAATTTTTCCTTGACTGAACAAGTCAGCAGATTTTTCAGTCTTATCTGTTGAATAGTTGAGCATGATGAGCCGGTGATTCTGCATTTCTTCTAAGTATGGATGAAACTTGAATACCAACAGCGACTGATCTACCCTTATGTTACACATTGCAGTATTTCTACTCATGTTTAGCTCTCAGAATGATATGCTACTACCATCACCTCCTGAAATCACCGGTGTCCATTTGCAGCAAAGCAAAGCCTTTTTTTTTTCTTTTCTCGCGGGGGCTCACATGCACATCACCTTTTTTTTTTTTGGAATCGGTCAAACATGTAATAAAATAGACCATAGCATATCTAGGAATTTCAGAAGTCTAATTTTCAACTACAAATTTGTACAACCTTGATTCATAAACCAAAACACCTGCAATCTCGAATAAACTACCCCTCGCAAGTCGCAACAAATCTGCCATGGTTTGAGCAATCTTATACCCGATTAAAAAAAATATGTAAACACAATAGAAATTAAGAAACAAGGAGTAGCACTCTAACAAAGTTGCCCAATACAATATCAAGTAACAAGTAGCATCAACCACTGGAGCTGCATAACAGGTCGAATGTGTAAGACTAAGATAACGATTTGACAACCAAGTATTATTATCAAAATGACATTAAAACGTAATGTGTCCACTGACTCAATAACAGGTATTATGGACTTGAAACAACAGTAAATAAAAAAAGCAAATTCTTTGATATGTATATAAATAGGAGGCTTGTTTCGGTGGTTGAAAAGTACTACTAGTACTTTTGGGTACTTAATATTTTTTTTATCTTGACAAACAATTAATTTAAGAAAGAGAATTAGTAAAAATAAATTAATGGAGAGAAGGGTAGATTAGTAATAGCAGGAGCTTTAACGGAGAACCCTCTCTCTACAAAACAGAAACACACAAAAAGTACATAAACTGCAAGATCACAAACAACTTCCTGGTTCATGATGCCACTGATCGATCTGCAGTTTTATCAGGATCTCCCTTGAACTTTGGGCGTTCCGGCAGCAGCGAGATCTCCCTTGAGCTTGAGCTTTGGTCGTTCAGCAGTGAGACCCAGTTTCGGGAAGAGGCGGAGCACGATGTTCTTCTTGGCATCCTGCACCTCCTTGTCCGCTGCGTCCTTCACGCGGGCGACGTCGGCTGCGTGCTCCTCCTTGAGCCGAGCGACAGCAGCAGCGTGCTCGTCCTGAAGCTTAGCCACCTCGGCCGCGCGCTCCTTCTTGAGGTGCTCTGTGAGCTGTGCGACTGCAGCTGCGTGCTCCTCCTGGAGCTTAGCGACTACGGACGCGCGCTCTGCCTTCACCTCCTCGCCATGCGCGGTGCATGCCTTGTGATGCTCATCCGCGAGTCGGCGGACCTCGGCCGCGTGGTGAGCATTTGCGACGCTCAACGCCTCCTTGAGCTGAGCGACGTGGTCCGCGTGCTTGTCTCTCACGGCGCGCACCTGCTCCTTGAGGTGGGCGACCTCCCCTCTGGTCGCCTGCCGCTCCTTTCCCTTTTCATCAAGCTCTGTCATGGCCTTCTTCGCCAACTCTGACGCCTCCGCGACGCAATCGACCAGTCCCCGCGTGTGCGTGTCGGAAAAGGATTTGCGCTTCCTCGTTAGTTCCTGCTGCTGCGGCGCCGGCGGCCCTGTATCTGTACGTACGTAGTGTGGATGTGAAATTACTAGAGTATCTTTTGTTTTTTAATATAACTAAAAATTACTTAAAATATATAGGTACTAGTCCGCCATGTTTTGGTACTGATCCCGCGTGTTTTGGTACTCCCTCCATCCCAAAATAAATGATGTTTTTGACTTTTATACTTCTTATTTGATCATTCGTTCTATTCAATTTTTTGTATAAATAATAAAATAAATAAGTCAGTATTAAAGTATCTCTAATGATAGAATAAGTCATAACAAAATAAATAGTATTTATATAAATTTTTTGAATAAGATGAACGATCAAATAAGAAGTATAGAAGTCAAAAACATCACTTATTTTGGGATGGAGGGAGTACTTCCAAGTACTTTTTGGTATTTTTTTCCTTGATACTTCGTATTTTTTCACCGTCCGATCGGAACTAATGGACAGTACACGTATTTTCCAACCACCCTAAAACTTGTAAAAGTAAAAATGAATCCTACGGGAAGGTTGAGTAGTTGCACATAGACATTAATGTGGTATACACAGCCTATTTCCATGTATTTCAAAATGAATAAGTATCTAAATTCAAGTTGTCCGAGTTTTTTCTTCAAAATAGATAGCCTCAATCAACCGTATAAGAAAATAAAGTTGCATATGGAGTGCACTAAGTAATCATCAATAAAAACACAGCAATGAATAATAAGACAAAAGTAGATTCCCAACTTCATTAATAATCAAATGGAAAACAGGTGACGTTGTTACTGGTACCAGCGCTCCCCCTCCCCCCTATTCAGGCAACTTTTGCTTACCGAATCTTCAAAATGACAAATTTTGGTAGCCAACGAAGCAGCCCCTAAATTATTCCATTTATTAGTCATATACCCTACTAAAGCACTTTCTTTTTCTATGCTAAGTCTACCAATAAAAACCTTCTTCACTGAGATAACCCTCCTCCACGCACCCCACAAAGTGTATCCAAGAAAATAACTCTCTACAAATTGAACCATCTAAATTGCTTCTCAATATTCTCTCTCCTTCCTCACTCACATCTAACGGTTGAGATCACGTATGGTACTCCTCCATCTCCCATGCCCGCGCCCCAGCAACGCGAAGGCTCGGCCCATTTTGTTCTGTTAGAGAAAAAAAGAAACGACGAGTGAGATCGGGGCGGGTGGGGAAACGGCGGCCGCGCACGGAGTAGGGCACGGTAGGGGCGATGACACCCCGACGCTTGGAGCGATCGAGGGTGCGGCAGTTGCCGACTCCTCTCCCCACACCCCACGCGCCGACTCCTTCTCTCCCTGATGCCCCACGCGCCGACGGCCACCTCTTCCAGATCGGCATCGCGACACCGCACGAGCGGAGGCCGCCGGTTGCGGATGCTGGGTCACCAACCGCAGGGGCTAGGAAGCCACGCGTGGCCTCGGCGTGGAGTCACCAGCCATCGGACTCCACTTCCGATCTGTAAGATATCACTGCCTCTCTCTCTCTCCCTCCTCCCTGGCTAATCCGATTTGGTGGAGCCGTAGGGTTTGGCTACCCCGATCTGCGTTGTTTTGTTTCGGTGCTCCAGTGGTGGATTCGTTTGGTAACTAGAAAAGCCGTGCCTCCCTTGGATGCCCCATACTTTCGACAACTGTGGTATTTTTATTTTTCTCATTTGTTTGAAGTCGAATTAAAAGGGGTTAATTGGATTGGTGCCATTACAATTCTCGCGTTTCTTAGAAATACCATTACTATTAGTCTTATTGTAAGCGTGCCACTACAATTACACTGGAGTCTGAAAAATGCCATTATGTACACTTGCCGCGACCTGTGGCCCACATGCAGGTGTATACAGCTAGTACGTACAATCGTATGGACCCTTTTGCCCCCAGCTTCTCCATACATGCGCCCGTTTGACTGGATCGAGTCAATCCATCCATTCCCCACCGCCTCCTCTCTCTCACTCGAACCCTAGCTCATCAGCCGCGGAGGCGACTACGACCGACAACGACGGCGGCGACTACTGCTCACGGCGGCGGCGACCGTGACTACCGCAGGCGCTGGTGTCGACCGCGACTACTGCTGCTCCTTCCCCGCCCCATCTGCTGAGCGGAGGCGACTACAACTGGCGGCGGCGGCGACCATGATCGATGGTAGTCGATTGAAGATCATGGTGCAAGCTTGAGTACTATGGCGGTCGTGTCCTCCATGGAGGACGAGGTGCATGGTAACCGTGCTGCAGCAATGGACGACAGCATACCGAGGTATGCATCTGAAACCATTTTGATCTAACATGACTTTCCATCGACGAATAGGCTAGTTGTTATTGCAATTTGTTGTAGAACTCGTTGACTTGATCTGCTTACTTCTTGCTAGGACCGACCTCTTCTCGCTAGAGATTAAAGTTGAAGGTTTCAATACAACAGATGCGTTGGGTAGGAAAGTTTACACCAAAGGTTCTGTGATTAAGTGGAATGTCGAGATAGGGTCATTTTCTTTAGACTTGTTGAGGGAAAGCTTGCGGAATGAAGTTAAATGGGCCTCTAACCTGTCTGCATCTCTGTGGTTCTTTGACAAAAATGTGCAAGAAGATGTCAGATTAGACAGTGACATTCAGATGATAGATTTGTTTGACATGTATAAGTCTGAAATGTGTTGCTGTGTGTTGGTAGGAGTCTTTGATAATGTTGTTTCTGATCCACTTAAGTATGAGTTGATAGAGCCTTTATGTGTTATTCCACCTAATGATGGAGCAGTCAACCCTACTGATTTCAATCCTGATGCAAATGCTTGTGTTGCTGCCATTCCAAATGCAAGTGCTTCTACTGCTGCCATTCCAAATGCAAGTGCTTCTTCTACTGCCATTCCAAATGCAAGTGCTTCTACTGCTGCCATTCCAAATGCAAATGCTTCTTCTGCTGCCATTCCAAATGCAAATGCTTCTTCTGCTGCCATTCCAAATGCAAATGCTTCTTTTGCTGCCATTCCAAATGCCCAAGCTTCTACTAAGGCCAATCCTTGTACTGCCGATGAGTCAAACGTAGAGCCTGATAGGGAGCCAGACATCTTTGACAATGAAGAGGAGTACGTTGGGGTTGATGGTGAGCACATCTACATTTCAGTACCACCTACACACCCAGCCAACACTAACAGTGCCCAACCATCGGTTGATAATGCTGATCCTATTGTTGCTGATGGAGGTGCTTCTCTTGATGCAGAAATTGATGATGCAGATCCCGAGGAAATAACTGTCCTCCATGATCCTAAAAATCCAAATATTGTCAAGGGACAATTGTTTCCTAACATAGTAACATTTAGAAAAGCTATTAGACATTACGCTGTCAAGAAAGGTTTCGAGTTAGCTAAGTTGCAAACTAACAAGACAAGATTCATTGCACACTGTGCTGCCGAAGGGTGCCCATGGAGAATTCATGCATCTAGGATTTTTGATAAGAAAACAATACAGGTTGGTGTGGTCCTTTTCTTACTATTTGTAACTTATTCAGTTATACATATGATATTCATCTTAATTTCTTATGTAGATTAAAACATTGCCTGCTGAACATAATTGTCCCACTACAAAGCTGAGGGAGGGAAAGATGGCTAGTCAAGGTTGGTGTGCAGATAGGTTGGTGGACTGGGTCAAGAAGAACCCAAATAAAGGAGCCAAGGATGCAAAGGAAAATCTAGAAGGAGACTATGGCATTAAACTGAAATACTCCAAGGCATGGTCAGGTTTGACGGTTGCCCAACAACAGGTCCATGGGAAGTACTTAGAAAGTTTTCAGCTATTGTTCAATTGGAAAGCACAGATAGAAATAAGTTCTCCTAGAAGCATTGTAGAGATAGAGTTAGAAGGGAAGAAGAAGAAGAAGCACTTCAAGAGGATTTTTGTAGCCCTGAAGCCATGTATTGATGGCTTCTTAGCTGGTTGTAGGCCATTTATAGGTGTAGATGCGTTTGCATTGCATGGAAGATATACAGGGCAATTGGCATCAACAACTGTTGTGGATGGGCACAACTGGTTATACCATGTGGCATATGCTGTTTTTGATTCTGAAACAGAAGACAATTGGAAGTGGTTCATGCAGCAGTTGCATAGAGCAGCGGGTTCACCTATAGGTTTAGTCATATGTACTGATGCTTGTAAAGGACTTGAGAAGGCTATGGGTGCAGTGTTCCCTAAAGTGGAGTACAGAGAGTGTATGAGGCATATGTACAGCAACTTTATGAAGCATTATCAAGGAGATGTGTTTACTGACCACCTATACCCTGCTATAAGGAGTTACATAGAAGGGTTGTTCAGGTGGCACATGCAGAAGATAGCATATTTTGCCCCAGATGCCATTGACTTCCTTTAGCAACATCACAAGTTGATATGGTACAAGTGTGGATTTTCAGAGCTAAGTAAATGTGACTATTTGACCAATAATGTTTCTAAGAGTTTCAATGCTCAGATAAAGCAGTTGAAAGGACTTTTGCTGCATGAACTGGTAGATGGGATTAGGGAACTCATAATGGAAAAGAGGTACTTAAGAAGGCAGATTGGTAAGGATATGTAGGATGGTATACTGCCTAATGTCATCAAAGACCTGAACACTATAAGCAAAAACCTCAAAGTTGTGAAGGTTGTAAGAAGTGATGAAGGCATAGCTGAAGTAACACTTATAGATGACTGGAACAACCACAAGTGGCACATGGTTGACCTGTAAGGTCACTCCTGTTCATGTAGGGAGTGGCAAATCATAGGAAAACCATGCAAACATGCCCTGGCATGGATTCTTTCTAATAGAGGAATTAAAATAGCAGATTTTGTGCATGAGTACTACACTGTTCAGAGATTCAGGGATGCATATGCTTCTAGAGTTGAGCCATTGCTAGACAGGTCATAGTGGCCACAGGTTGACCTAGGCTTCAAAGTTTTCCCTCCTCTGCTAGGTAGAGCTGCAGGTAGGCCGAGAGTGGTGAGAATTAGAGGTTGCCTTGAGAAAAATGCTACCAAGAAGAAGGTTAGGTGTAAAAGGTGTGGAGATTTTGGGCACTTCTCTAAGACTTGCAAACAACCAGAGCTAGGAGAAGATGGTGAAGTTGGACTGAATTCAAAGGAAAAAAGGTAAAATGATTTGTATGTCTCTTTCCAATTCTTGTGACATTCCCTAGTTTTTGCTAATCATAGTGTGCATCTGTAGGAAAAGGCAACAGTTGGAAGATGATGATAGTTCTGGACCTTCACAAATGAAGAAGAAGACAACACCTAAGAATAAGGGTGCACCCAAGAAGAAGAATACACCTAAGAAGAAGAAGACACCTAAGAAAAAGAAGCAGCAAAAGAAAGTTGCTGCTCTAGCAGCTAGTGTTGTGAGAAGCCTAAAGGACTTCTTAAACACCATGTGATATATTGTGATCACAAGCATGAAATTAGTTTCTTTTGTGGCCTAAACGTTATGTATGCTAGGGCCTAAACTCGATGTCTGTTATGGTCTTGAACTCGATGTATTGTAGGCCTTGAACTTGATGTATGGTATGGCCTAAACTTGATGTATGCTAGGGCTTGAACTCGATGTCTGTTATGGTTAAACAACTGTTATTTCGTACTACTTTGTGCTATATCAACCACACAAGGCATGTGGGATTTGTTCAGTGGGCTATGTTGAACCTCTTGCTTAATGCTACCATGGAGCCACCTGTTTCTCTGTAAAGTACTGTTGATTTGTTTTGTGTTGCTAGTAATCACTCTTTGTCCAGACAATAGGATGTGAAATTTTTCAAAAGCTAGATTCACATCAGATTCTACCCTCTACCTGGCCTTTTCTTTTCATCTTTGGTTATGTTTCTTGATTGGAATGGACAGGGCCTCCCTAAACCTTGTATCTGGTGGTAATATTAACTCCTTGAACGATCCTTGTCATTGGAGCACAGTTCAGCAAGCAGTTGAGTACAAAGGTTCTGCCATTGGCACACTACTATATTCCAACTTCTCTAGAGACAATCTGAGAGCACTAAAAAAGAAGTGGGTTGATATGGCTGGAGTGGAAGGTCCTGAAAACCCACTTTTCACCCTTGGTTTGGGCCGTTCACCAAGTTCCTCTGAAAATAGCAAGGTTAGCTCCCCCACAACTTGCATGATGTCTCCATCTTCACTGAAAGAGACTGATGAGGAGTCATCAATGGATCTTGGTCTCAATTTTGATCTTTGTCTTGGTCATGATACTACACATCATCACAAGAAGCCATGTGATGAGCACCCCCATCAGTAGGTGCTCCCAAATTGGATCTTTAGTTGAGTTTGTCCACTTGTTCGCCTGAATCAGCTATGACCAATGCAAGTACTGCATCTCTGCCACCAAATGCTATAGCTCACATGATATGGTCCAAAATAAATAGATGAGAATGAGTGGCACACAGAAAACAAAGTGGGCAAATTGATGGTTGCACACATTGACAGATTCATCACAAATTCATAGATTCACAAAACCTATATAAACATACATTCCTTGATCACAGATACACAGTTGCACAGAAAAAAATAAACAAAAATATGTAGTAGCACTTGACAACCTACAGGCTAAGATCATTAAACTCCAAACTACTGGAACTAAGGTGCATACTACTTCATTTCCAAACTGCTACAACTAAGAGGCTTACAAACAGATTTAGCATCACCACAACAACTAATGCATTGCCTAAGCTAAAAGCCTTGTTCAATCCTCCATTCTTCAATTCTTTCATCTCCTACTCCAACTTTAAAATGTCAACCTTCAAGTCAATGATCTGAACCTTCAAGTCCATCATCCCAATCTTTGTGTCACTCTTCTGTTCTATGCCTTGAACCGCAGGAGCAACAAAAGGGCCTTGTACACCTTCCACTTCCACATCCCTGAGCTTGTCTGGATGATTGGCGCGCAGATAGGCTAGGTATTGATCCTCAAACCAATAGTTCGCACAAGTGTCATCGTTCTTCAATTGACAATCAAAACCCCAACCCACTTAACACTATTTGCAGCTGGACGAACATGGAACCCAACATCAAAGGAAAAGCAAGACAAATTACCAGGAAATTGTTGGGGCAAGTGTAATACATATTGCCAGCCTTGCTCTTGCGCCTAATGACCTGGATCTTGCATTTGGGGCAATTGATCCGTGGGAGACCACCAACCTGGCTAGCACTTGAACTGGCAGCTGTGGATGCCATCTTCGCTCAGCAGATGGGGCGGGGAAGGAGCAGCAGTAGTCGCGGTCGATGCCGGCGCCTACGGTAGTCGCGGTCACCGCCGCCGCCACCACCGGTCGTAGTTGCCTCCACGGCGGACGAGCTAGGGTTCGAGCAAGAGAGAGAGAGGAGGCAGTGGGGAATGGATGGATTGACTCAATCCAGTCAAACGGGCGCATGTATGGAGAAGCTGGGGGCAAAAGGGTTTATACGATTGTACGTACTAGCTGTATACACCTGCATGTGGGCCATAGGTCACGGCAAGTGTACATAATGGCATTTTTCAGACTCCAATGTAATTGTAATGGCACACTTACTGAAAGCATCTAGGCCCCTAGTTTGGTTTTAGTGATTAATGACAATACAAGATTACTGTGACTAACGTGTGTTTTGCAGATGCAATTAAGTTGGGTCATGGTAATAGCAATTGATTGGGCAATCATGGTTGTCATGCCCCTAAGATGAAAATCATTTCGGTTTTCAAAGGATGGATGACAAGGTTAAGGATGGACTAGTTCTAAGTGTCGTTTGGTGTTGAAGAGACACTTAGAGTAGTTTAGGACTTTGTTTTTCCTTTAGCCATACTATTAAGGGGGGTATGGACTAGTAGCTTGACCTAGGTGAGTCTAGTGAGTTAGGTGTGGTGCACACTTGTCAAATCTAGCACTAGGTAGCTCTGAAGTAGCTCTAAGATCAATTGGAGCAAACTTCATTCACATATGATTTCGAGTTGGAAGTGAATGGAGGGTCAAATAACTGACCGGACGCTGGTCTGGTGGTGACCAGATGCTGAAGGGTGAGCCAGGTCAGTTCATTTGATCAACTAGAGCCGTCTGGTTCTGATCGGACGCTGAGTGAAATGTGACTGGACGCTGGGGGCCAGAGTCCGATCAACTCTAGAGAGGTTCCAGAGAGGGTAATTCCTGATCGGACGCGTCCGGTCACTGCTGACCGGACGCTGGTCAGGATCCGGTAACTGATCGGACACTGAACAGCAAAGTGAACGAACTCTAGGCACCAGCATCCGTTCAACATCAGTAAGGTTCCAGAGAGCAGTTTTCATGACCGGACGAGTCCGGTCAGTGCTGACCGGACGCAGGTCAGAGTCCTGTCACAACTTAACGGCTCTGTTGCGGGGATAGCTGACCGAAACGTCCGGTCACCCCGCAGAATGCTGACTCAACGTCCTAACGGTTCATTTTGAATGAGGGGGTATAAATACTTCCTCTATTTATCCAAGGGAGGTCTCTTGCCCATTTGTTCAGCTGAGAAATACTCTTGAGAGTGCTAAGGAGAGCAAGAGCCTAGTGAGGTGATTGAGATTTGAGAATCCAAGATTAAGGCCTCATTAGTGCAAGGAGAGTAGCAAGTGTGCATCCATCCTTCTCATTAGGCTTGTTGTGGTCAAGTGAGAGTTCGTGCTTGTTATTCTTGGTGATCGCCATCACCTAGACGGCTTGGTGGTGATCAGGAGTTTGGTGATCATCCGGCGGAGCTTGTGGATGACCCAACTCAAGTTGTGAGCGGTTGTGGGTGATTCACCACGACGGAGTGTCGAAGAATCAACCCGTTGAGAGCACTTGATCCTTGCGCGGATCAAGGGGGAGCTACACCCTTGCGCGGGTGCTCCATCGAGGACTAGTGGAGAGTGGCGACTCTTTGATACCTCGGCAAAACATCGCCGCATTCCTTCTCCTCTCTTTACTTTAAGCATTTACATTTGAGCAATTCAATTCTTGTCTTTACATTCTTAGAATTACCATGCTAGAGTAGGATTGGAACCTATGATGCAAAACTTTTGTGCGATAGATCAATAGGAACATATTCTAGGCACAAGGGGTGAAGTGGGCTAAGTGTAGGGTTTAATTATTGCAAAGAATTTTAGAATTAGCCCAATTCACCCCCCTCTTGGGCATCTTGATCCTTTCAATTGGTATCAAAGCCTCGTGCTCACTAAATTATGCTTAACCGCCTAGAGAAAGATATCCCATGGGGATGGACCTCCTCCTATCTTTGAGGGAGATGATTTTTCTTATTAGAAAATCTGTATGGAGGCTTACTTAGAAGCTCTAGATGTTGGAATTCTTAGAGCCGCCTCTCAAGGTTCCCAAAACCTGGGGATCCCACACACCTTCAAGGCAATGAGGTCAATTATGAGAAATGGAATCCTAAGGCTAGGAATACCATCTTTAGAGGCCTTTGTAAAGATGTGTTTAACCGCGTGCGGAACCACAAGGACACCCATGCACTATGGTCAGACATTTGTGCGCTCCATGAGGGAACAAAGAGTGAGCATGAGGAACGCTATCATCTTGTTATGAAAAAGCTTAATTCATTTGAGATGCTTCCGAAAGAAAGTGCTAATGAAATGTACTCACGCTTAAATGTTCTTGTAGAGGAAGTCAATTGGCTTGGACTTACACAAATGCAACCATCCGATGTTGTAAGAAATATCTTAAGTGTCCTCCCCAATGACAAATATGGGCATATTGTGACCGTGCTTCATCAAGGTGATCTTTCTACCGCTACACCAACTCAAATCTTGGGAAAGATCAACGCTCATGAGATGTATATGCACATCACACCACAAGGTGGCTCTTCCTCTACCAAGAAGAAAGACAAAGACTTGACATTCAAGGCTAGCCAAGAGAAGGGCAAAGCAAGCGTTGAATATGAGAGCTCAAGTGATGATGCAAGTCTTGCTCTTATGGTGAGAAGAACCGCCAAGATGCTTAAGAAGCTCAACAAGAACGGTGTCAAGTTTGATGGCAAGAAAAAGAAATTCTTCACTAGCAATAGAAGGAAGCCAATCTCTGAGATGGATTGCTATAATTGTGGAGAACTTGGTCATCTAGCTCATCAATGCCCCAAGTCAAAGAAAGACAAGTACAAGAAGAAGTACAAGGGCAAGAAAGATGACTCAAGCAATGAAGATGATGATGAGAAGAATAAAAACAAGCCATATGAGAAGAAAGATGGCAAGAAGAAGGATTTCCACAAGAAGAAGAAAAAAAGCAAGGCATACATCGTCGGTGATTGGCTCACGAATATTGATTCATCAAGTTACTCATCCGATGATGATAGTGAGAATGAGAAGGTGGTCGCTATTGTGATTGACTCTTCATCATCCTCACCGACACCACCGTCACCATCCTCTACACACCTATGCCTTATGGCCAAGGGTGAACAAAAGGTATCAAATGATAATGATAGTAGTGGTGATGATCATGCTAGTAATGATGATAGTGATAGTGATGATGAATTTGAATCACCTTCATATGATGATCTTGTCAAATTGCTAAATCAATACACTAAGATCATTAGAAAGACTAGAGCTAAGAATGAAAAGCTAGAACTTAAGAATGACTCTCTTTTAGCTAAATGTGACATAGCAGAAAATGCTAGTGTTGAGCTTAGAGAAGCAAATGAAGCTATGTCATCCAAACTCAAGAAGCTCAAATCTTCTTAGAAAGAGCTTAAAGAAAAACATGATAAACTTGAGGGGATACATAATGAGCTCATCACTAGCTACAATATGCTAAAAGAAGAATATACAAATCTCAAGATCAATCATGATAATCTTGTTGTCTCTAATGAGCTATTATCCAATGAGCCACATGATGCTACTAACCATGTTGTTAAGATTGATATAGCTACATCATGTGATGATTTGGTCATTGAGAGCATTGAGCAAGGTTCTAGTAGCAAAGGCAAGCAAGTGGTTGAGTCCAACAACTATGATGAGTATGTCAAGATCAAGAATGAGAAGCTTAAGAAAGATCTTGAAAAGCTATCAACCACCAATACCATTGTGATAGAGACTCTTGATTATGATGGTGATTTAATTCTTGAGAATGAGAAGCTTAAAGAAGAGAACAAGAGACTCAAGAAGGAGAAAAATCATGATGAGCTCAAAGAAGAGAACAAGAAGCTCAAGTTAGAAAAAGAACATCTCAAGACCGGTTTGAGCAAGTTTACAAGAGGTCAACATCTTCAAAGTGAGCTACTCATGAACACCGTCATGAAGATGGATAGAAGTGAAATTGGATATTTGCCACATCAAGAGAAGAAGGCTCAAGCTCAACACCAACAACAACACAAGTCAAAGCCAAAGCCTAAGAGGTGTTTTGAGTGTGGACAAGAAGGTCACTTTGCCCATGAGTGTCAAACTCCACCACCACAACCCTTGCCCAAGCATGCTAGACCTTTTGCTTTTAATGCTCATTACATGCTTAGAAAGGACTCTAATGAAAAAATGAAAGTTATGTTCTTAGGACCTCCCAACAAGAATAGGCTTAAGAAATTTTGGGTTGCTAAGTCACTTGTTGAGAAAGTCAAGGGCCCTCAACAAGTTTGGGTCCCTAAACAAGCTTGATCTCTTGTGTGTAGGTGAACTACAAGACCGGTGGAAGTCGTTGGGTAATTGATAGTGGTTGCACTCAACATATGACCGGTGATCCTCGTATGTTCACCTCACTTAATGAAGAAGTTGATGGTCAAGAAAGAATTACATTTGGTGATAATTCAAAGGGCAAAGTCAAAGGATTGGGCAAAGTGGCAATATCAAATGATCATTCAATCTCAAATGTGCTATATGTTGCTTCTTTGAGTTTCAACTTGCTATCCGTTGGACAATTGTGTGATCTTGGCTTTCAATGCTTGTTTACCGAGAAGGAAGTGGTTGTATCTAAGAAAGATGATGATCAAATTATATTCAAAGGATTTAGATACAACAACCTATATCTAGTGGATTTCACCTCCGAAGATGCTAACTTGAAGACATGCCTATTCACCAAAACAACACTTGGGTGGCTATGGCATAGAAGACTTACTCATGTTGGGATGAGCTCACTCAAGAAGCTTATGAAAAATGAATTGGTGAGAGGGTTGAAGGATGTGAAATTTGAGAAGGACAAGCTTTGTAGTGCATGTCAAGCCGGCAAGGAAGTTGCAAACACTCATCCTACAAAAGCTTTCATGTC